ACACTACACACACACACACCCCACCCACCATATATATATACTATATATATATATATATATATATATATATATATATATATATATATATATATATATATATATATATATACATATACATATACATACATACATATATATATATATATATATGTATATATATATATAAATAATATATATATATAAATATATATATATATATCACTATGCCTTTGTATACTATTATATCAATATGCCTGTGTATACTATTATATAGTTTTTAATATAAATAAGGGCAATAATGCCAATGTTTCTATGTCAATATTTGGGTGTGTGTACATAAATTTTCAGCCGGAAGTATTTTATCGCATTGTACATATCGATATTTGAGCCAAGAAGTCTGCATATACACAACTATCTATTGTTCGATCCGACATTTGAAGCCTCATTTTTCTTCGTCACTATCACTGCTTAATCTATGCCGCTGTTCGCCTAACCCCAGGTCAAAGCCAAGCGACCTTCCCACAACTTTCTGACACTCGTCCGGCGGTATCTTCTAGGCTCGTCACTCCGGAATGTCGGTAGTGGTGTCGAACCAGGTTGGAGCCATGCCATTGTGATGGCTTGTGGGGTTGTTCTTATTATAGTGGGCACCTTGACGAAGAACGAGTCCCAATCCCTCCGTACCTCGAGAGTGGTCGGGGAAGGGTGTGTGCTGATTCTGGTGGGCATCTTTAATCTGGTGCTGTGTGTGCGCGAGGCTTATGCTCAGGATGTCGAGCTGATGGACCGCCTGTCGGATCTGTCGGCGCAGTACCTAGACATCCTGCACTCGCACGGGGGTCAAAAGGTAGGCGAGAATATAATTAGTCACAAGCGATTTGGTCAACGGGGGCTTGGGTTGGGGTTTTCTTTTGCCTTCTGTTCATGTTTGGGTTTGTACCTGTTCCTATAAGATCTATTGTTAACTTGGAGGGATGTAATTCTGAAGTATAGAACAATAGCATGTTTCAACGAGGGATAATCAAATTCTGTGTATTCTGTTAAAAAAAGAAGGGTGTTCCGTTACTTTGCTCATCCTACTTTTGTGCCTTTGACAAGTGATATATTAGTGCACCTCGAGTGTGATTATACTTGTGATATTTACGCGTCCACCATAATTACGGGACAGTTACAAAGTTCGAAATTAGTGTTGTTCACTGCGTATCGAAGAAACGCGTTGGTAATGCTATGATTTGGAATGGAATAGAACAATCAGGACTCAGCATAAACCAAACTTACTTCGCAGCCAGATGTAGTCTCCATACACCTGTGATTTGTGTGGGTAGGAGCGAGACTATGAACAGTGTAGTCACCGACGATGTCGTGTGTATCCTTGTTATGTTCTGATACATTGTCTGAGCCTCTAGGAACTTGGTAGAATTTATTTATTAGTGTATATAGCGTACGTGGTCGTCTTCTCTCTACTACTAGAGTAGCGTAGAGTTACAAATGTGCTGCGTGTAGATTCGAGCTGCTGAGTAATATGTGCTTATCTGTGAGAACTCGATCTACGAATAGTCACATGTATCAGAGCAACATGGTATGGGTTACTGGCTACTGGTCCGCTTTACCTATAGGAGTACAATAGTATAGCTACGTTGTGATTGTTCGCGTTAGTTTGTCTCGATACAACTTCCATAGGATAGTCTGTTGCTAGTATTTGGATGCGCTCTTTTCCATGGGCGTGTGTATGTGGTAACATGGTCTAATTATAAACCAGTCTCATAGATTACGATCAGGCAGGATGCCAGAGAAACGTATGTTATTCACGGGGTTCAGCCTTCGTGTTCAGTTGCGAAGAACGATGCCGATTGTGCCCAAATTCTCATTCATGAAGTATCCCATGAAAAAATTTAGATATGTCGTACGAGTTTTACTTCACGTATCATGAAATATATACTTCCGCCAAACTTGTAAACACAAGTATTGTTAGACTGACAGGCACATATGCAAGGACACGCACACACACACATACACACACACACACGCA